ATGGAAAGGTGGCAAAACCACTTGAATGAATCTGATGATCTATTTTGTGACCTTGAAGACATCATTAAAGCTAGCAATCATGAAAGAAAAGATCTCTTAAAGATAACAGGAATGGGGGCTGGGGATTTAGCTCAGCGGCAAAAGCGCCTGCCTGGCAAGCGCAAGGTCATGAGTTCGGTTCCTGGTACTGGAGAAAAACCAAAAAAAAAAAAAAAAAAAGATAACAGGAATGCACCAGCTGCAAGATGAGGAAAAGAAAAACAATATGAGACTGATAGGTGTCAATGAAAGAGGAGGCAACATGAATGACATAAAGACTATTTGCAGAGATAACAACAGAAAATTTCCCAAACATGGGAAAAAAATGTGGCACACAGTGAGGCATAGAGAACTCTAATTAGCTATAACCAAAATAAATCTAAACCCAGACACATAATAACCAAGATCCAAAAATTCAACAAAAGAACAAAATACTAAAAGCTGTTAAGAGAAAAGAAAAAGAACAACTTTGAAGGAAAATCCATCAGAATCACAAATTTCTCAACACAAACTATTAAGTCAAGAAGAGCTTGGAGTGAAGTATTTCAGGTGCTGAGAAAAAAGAACTTCCAACCCAAATTGATGTACCCTGCAAAATTAATGGACAAATAAGATACTTCCACAACAAAGAACAACTTAAGAAATTCAGGACCTCCAAACCAACCCTACACAGAGTACTGAAAGATATTCTAGAAAGAGATAAAACTGAGCACAATTCCAAGAACAGCAATACAAAGGAACCACCAAGCAGGACAAACAATTAAATAGTGGGGGAAAGTAGGGAAATAACAGCAGGAAAATAACATGACAAAAATAAGCCAATACATATCAGTAATAACCATTAATGTAAATGGTCTCATTTCAATCAAAAGAAACAGACTAACAGAGTGGATCAAGAAACAAAATCAAACAATATGCTGTATATAAGAAGCACACTTAATTCAACAAGAAATACACAGACAATGTTAAAGGATGGAAAATAATGCAACAGGAAGACAGAAAAAAGCAAGAGTAGCTATTCTGGTTGCAGACAATGTGAACTTCTAACCAAGAATGATCAAAAGAGATAAAGAACATTATTACATACTTGCTAAGGGAAAACTGTGACAAGAAGAGATAACAATCATAAATATATATAAACTAAATGTAAGAGCACCCAATTATATGACAAATTTTAACAGACAGAAGAAATAACACAATTGTAATGGGGGGCTTTAACACCCTATCATCACAGACAGATAGATCAACTAGACAAAAAACTGGCAAAGAAATAATAGAACTAAACTAAACTTGTGAACAAACGGACTTAGTAGACCTTTACAGACTGTTACACCAAAAAACATCAGAATACACATTCTTCACAGCTGCACATGAGACACTATCTGAAATAGAACATACACTAATCCATAGAAGATGCTTAAGTAAATGCAAAGGAATTAAAATTATCCCATGCATATTATCAGAACATAGTTCAATGAAACTGGAAATTATTGACAAAATAAATCACAAAAAGTCCATAAACCCATAGAATTCAATAACACCTTCCTGAATAACCAATGTGTCACAGATGAAATTAAAGAAGAAATTAAACAATATTTACAATCAAATAAAGACGCAGATAGAACTTACCAGAACCTGTAGGAAACAATGAAAGTAGTCCTCACAGGGAAATTAACAGCAGTGAATGCCCACATCAGGAAAACAGAATAAGCACAAATAAACAACCTTATGTTGCACCTCAAGCTTCTAGGAAAAGAACAGCAAGTCAAGCCCAAAGTCCAAAGAAGGCAGGAAATTATGAAGATCACAGCAGAAATTAACGGAATGGAGATGAGGAAAACAGTAAGAAGAATTAATGAATCAAAGAGTTTGTTCTTTGAAAGAATAAATGAAATTGATAAACCTCTAGCCAACCATATTCAAAAAAAGAAAGAAAAAACTCAAATCCATACAATAAGGAATAAAAATGGTTAAATCACTATAGATCATGTAGAAATTTAGAAGATCATCAATACTTCCTTTGAAAATCTTTACTCTCATAGGATGGAAATACAGAGGAAATGGACAGATCTTACATACATATGAATTACCAAAGATGAATCAAGAAGATATACAAATCCTGAATAACTAAATATCAGTCTACAAAATTGAAATTGTAATAAAAAACTTACCAACAAACAAAAGCCCAGGTCCTGATGGATTCACAGCTGAATTCTTCAAGGATTTCAGAGAAGATTTAATGCCAATTCTTCTCAAACTGTTTAATGAAATTCAAAGGGAAGCAATCCTTCCTAACTCATTCCTGGAAGCATGTGTTACAATGGTACCAAAACCAGGGAGAAACCCTACCAAAAAAGGGAACTATAGGCCAATCTCCCTAATGAATACACATGCAAAAATTCTCCATAAAATACTAGTTAAAAGAATTCAGTAAATCATCAAGAAGATTATACATCATGACCAAGTGGGGGTCATCTCAGTAATGCATGGATGGTTCAATATATGCAAAGCAATAAATGTAATACATCATATCAATCGAACCAAAGATGAAATCACATGATCCTCTCAATAAATGCAGAAAAAGCTCTAAACAAAGTCCAACACCCATTCATGATAAAAGCCCTACAGAAAATTGGAATAGAAGGATTTCCCCTCAATCTTATAAAAGCCATCTATGACAAAACAACAGCCAACATCATACTAAATGGACAAAACCCCAAAACTTTCACTTTAAAACCACATATAAGACAAGGCTGTCCACTATCACTACTTGCAATTAGACAGGAGAGGAAAATAAAAGGAATAAGATAGGAAAGGAAAAAGTAAAATTATCATTATTCAAGGATGACATGATGCTGTACATGGAGAACCCCAAAAACTCCACCAAAGGACTCCTAGAATAAATTCAGTACCATAGCTGGACACAAAGTCAACACTCAAAAATCAACAGCATTTCTGTACACAAAGAAAAAAACACACTGAGAGAGAAATTAGGGAAATCACACCTTTCACAACAGCATTCCAAAAAATGAAATACTTGGGAAGCAATCAAAGGAAGTAAAAGATCTATACACTAAAAATTACAGTACTCTGAAAAAAGAGATTAAAGAGGATTTGAGAAAATGGAAAGATATCCCTTCTCATGCAGAAGAAAAACCAACGTTGTAAAAATGGTCATACTCCCAAAACCGTTGTAGAGATTCAATGCAATCCCAATTAAAATACCAGTAGTATACCTCACAAATCTACAGAAAACATTCCTAAAATTCTTCTGGAACCAGAAGTGACCCAGAATAGCAAAAGCAATCCCAGGTAGCAAAGGCCAGACAGGAGGCATCACAATCCTTGACTTGAAATTATACTACAAAGGTATTGTGATAAAATCAGCATATTTTGGCAAAAAAACAGACTGGAAGATACAGCTACAACCACAAACACACTCATGTAGCTTTTCTATGATAAAGGAGCCAAACATGTTCACTGGAGGAAAGAAAACCTCTTTAATAAATGGTGCTGGAAAATCTGGCTCTCCACATGCCAAAGACTGAAAGTATATCCATGTCTATCACCAGGCACTAAACTAAAGTCAAAATGGATAGATAAAAGATCTAATATTAAAACAGAAACACTGAATCTACTGGAAGGGAAAGTAAGTAGAAATCTTGCAGACAGAGTGGTAGGCAGAGTTCATGAACAAAAATCCAACTACTTGGGAAATACTTCAACGAATCAACAACTGAGATCTCATCATATTGAAAAGATTTTGCACATCAAAAGAAATCATTAACATAATAAAAAGAAAACCCATGAATACAGAAAATTTTTAGTCAGTTGTCCATCAGACAAAGGACTTCTACCCAGAATATATAAAGAATTTTTAAAAATCAGTCCCCCAAAATTCAGAGACCCAATTCAAAACTGTGCATCTGAGATAAAGACACACTTCTCAGATGAAGAAATACTAGTGGCAAATACATACATGAAAAAATGTTCAACATCACTGGTCATTTGAGAAATGCAAATTAAAATAACACTGAGAATCCATCTCACTGCACAAAGAACAGCTATCCTCAAGAAATCAACAAATAACAAATGCTGGAGAGGCTGTGAGGGAAAAGTAACCCTTCTCCACTGTTGGTGGGAGTGCAGACTGGTACAACCACTGTGAAAATCAATGTGAAGAATCCTCACAAAACTAGGATTAGAGGTCCCATTCAACCCAGCTATTCCCCTTCTGGGTAATATTCCAGAAGAACCAAAAACATCAGACCACAGCGACATATGTGCACCCATGTTTATAGCAGCACAGTTTGTAAATAGCTGAATCGTGGGAAAAAACCCAATGCCCATCAACTGAGGAATGGATAAAGAAGAATGTATTTTTAGGCAGTGGAGTATTACTCAGCTATAAAGAAAGGTATACTTGAGGCTCTTAGAGGTAAATGGATACAATTAGAGACCATACTCATAAGTGAAACAAATCAGACCCGTATGTGTAAATATTGTATTGTCTCCCTAGTATAAGAACCTGAAAGTGTTAATAAAATCAGAATGGTAGAATAGATATTGTGAAAGGGAAAGAAACTTCTCAAAAGGAAAGAACAACTGGGATGAGGGAAAGAAGAAAAGAAAGAAGGAAGTGAAAAAAATACGTATTTGTATACACACAAGGCAGCTAAGACAATTGTAGTACTAACTTCTAATGGCTTATTGAAAGGAACAATTAATCTTTAACTGATTGATCAGTCTTGCATGCCTATATCTGGTAGATCTGAGCAACTACTTTGAAGATAACAATATATAATTCAACAATCATTGTTGATTTCCTATCACCTTTTTGTGGAATTCTGTATTGTTTCTATTGTTTTTGTGTTGTATTGTTTTTCTCTTTATTTTTATTATTTTGTCTTTGTTCTTTTCTCTTTAAAAGAAAAAAAAGAAATATTTCCTTGATGACTTACCTGCTTGTAGAGGCTTGGGTAGTATCATCTGATATGGACCTAAATGAAAATAGTATCTAAAAGTTAATGTCAGAAACCAACTTTGGAAATGAAAAACAGTTCATTATATGCCAAAAATAACTCTTGAAGCAATTAATGAATGCAAGTAAGTGACAAGAGTTTACCAGTGAAATGTATAGTACTAAATTCAAATGTTTCTATGGAAAAGTGGCAGCATAGCAGATATCATTTTTCTTACAACTTCTAAAAGTACAAGTTTGACTCTAAATCTCTAAAAACACACTAGAGTCTCTATATCAGCTTTTTATGTGTTGATATATAAATTACCACCTGTTGTAAATTAAAGCACACATTTATATCAGGGCTGTCTGGCAGAGTGGACAGACAGGAAAACTTCTTTCTACTCCACACACAAGAAATAGCGAAAGAAAACAGCATATTAAGCATATATTAAGAAAATCTAGTCCATAACTGAGATTGACAAGCAGAAAAAGTTTCTTTCTCTTACTGAAAAAAGAAGTTAGAAACTCAGAAGTAAAATAGGAGCTAAAATGAAATTACTTATACTATAAAGGATTTGTTTTTAATGAACCTATCTTGGAGGGAGTTAAGGGCATGCTTTTGATGTTTCTGGAAGTTGGAAGTTTTTGCCTAAGCATGGTAGTCTTGAAAGGAGATAACAGAAGTTAGGACTACTGGAGTTAGGAATGTCACAGGCAAGTTATATTAGCACTGTGGACAGAAAGAATACTTAAAATTCATGAACTTCAGGCCTGTTCAATTTAGTAAAGTGAAAACTCAGTTACTCAATTCACCACCTACCAGTAACAATCAGATTACATAGAAATTATTATAATGTTCATGGCCCAGAAGAGCAAACCTGAAACAGCATTATCTTCCCAGTGATGTTCCCTATAATTCAGGCCATACTGCCTTTCCAGAGGAATCATCATTGCTCCCAAGGATGAGTTGACAAACCTTACATTTTGAACAACTGTATATTAAATGTCCATAAGCATAGCACAACAAACTGAAAATTTCATACATCAACAGATAACATGAAAAGCCTTTAAAATAGAAATGTTTAACATGTCCATTGAGACTCAGGTAGGAGTAAGGTAAGAAAATGATAGAGCTTAAGAAAGGCTGATTAGGGAACTGATACGTGGAAATCAAACTATGCCAGGTAGAGGAGCATAAAGGCATATTTATGAGAAGCCCAGTTAACACATATGGTAGTTAAAATGAGGAGACCCTTCTAAATATAGTGATTTCAGATGAGAAAAGAAAAATGGGGAAGTCAAAAACTGAATGACAGCAATTCAACTTTTCCATAATTAATGATTTGAGACTCATATGTAATGACTATAAATTAAATACAGATATGGATAAATGAAAAGCTGTATCAAATATACACCACTAAAATGAAACATGTAAATTAAAGAGGAAACTTCCAAAGCCACCTTGAAGAAAACACACATTAATTGAGAGAAATAACTTAGACTGACAATTGAAGTTCAATCAGTGAAAGCAAGTGGGACATTACAACAGTAAATTTAAAAAGGGTTTCATTCAGGTGACTCTTCACGAAGTCTATAACCACCTAAGTTACATTTTGAAATTGAATGTAAAAATTCTTGCTTACTTAATACAAAATATTCATACCACATAGATGATAGTCAAGATTTAAACATTCATCCTTCATGAACAAGGAAATTAAATGTAGTGAAAAATAAATGGATACAGGAATGGTGAACAAAAATTCACAAAGTGTTTCTATATCCTACTATGTGTTCATTTAATAGAAAAATGAGAACAATAACAATGACTAATGGAGGACGGGACTCCCACAAGTAAAAACCCAGAAGGAGCTGATAGCAAAATGAAAATAATATGGGAGGATTCATGATCAGAATTTGCTGTTAATGGCCTAAGAACCTTCCATCATTTAGGAAAAAACAGGAGATACTGATAGAAATTAAACATTTACAGATTAATTATACTAAGGTGATACTAATGCAGCTCACAATGGTATTTATCCCACTTTAGTACTTTGACTTCAAAGTACACTTTCTACTGGCTCTTGCAGTTAAAGATTACACCAACAATAAGTGAACTGAAGGCTACAATGGCAAGTGAGACAAAGAAAAATGTAACTGAGGAATCATCCAAAAATTGTTTCCCTGGTGCACACAAGGTAAGAAGACAAGATTATTGAATTAACATTCTAAATTAAATTATTCTAATTATAATGTATATTTTTCTATGGGTGATGCTATCATCTCTCATTCAATATAGGTGAATAACAATTCCAGAAGATATTATACTAACAGATTTTCAGGATGACAGGTAATATAATGAGGAAGAAATGGGGGAAGTTGCAACAATACAGCTATGGATGTGTGTATTCATGTGTACACACATGTACAGACCTGTCTATGCACTTTTTGTTTGCATTTTCATTTTCTTATTCACTTACCATAACCCAAGCATTCTGATTCATGTTGGCTCTGTAATACTAAGTGAGATAAACTTCGAATTTACAAGATGACAGAATGTAAGAAGACATATGTCCTAATGCGAGAACAATATAACCAAGACTTCCTATGCTTGAGCCCTAGAGGATAACTCCCTTGGTCACAATAACGTAAGACATAATAAAGAAAATCAACCTTTTTGATTTAAAGAAACTAACTCATGGCTCTGACCTTTAAAGAAAAGGTCATAATAATGTCTGAGAAGAAGTAGAAAGAAAAATATATCCCCATATACACACAAACAAAAACTGCAAGTTACAAAGGGAGGAAGGAAAGCCCCAGGCAGTTTGTATTTACAGAAAGACCTAAAATTTGTCATTATTGAGTGTGGAAAACAAGTATTTATGGTACTATTTACACAGAGTTAGCCATCTTTTGATGTATAAAGGGAGACCAAGCTAAAAATGACTTTTGATACTGTGAGACTCTTTGAGGCATACAGATTTTGGTGTCTTAGGATGCTTTACTTCAATACATTCTGCCTGAGTGACCAGGGAAGTAAGAATTCACTCAGCTATTGATGAGTATACAGACTTAGGTTTTACTTGTACAGCTTCTACGAAGAAGTTCATTTCCCCTATGTACTCCAGGATAAAGGAGCAAAAGCACTCTGCTTATGATTTAAATTCTTCAATATCTCACAAATCATTTATTCCCCTTGCTCCAAAGCATGATCCTCCAACATACACTGAACCAAAAGAAAAAAGAAGTGGATTTATAGATTTAGTTAGACAAATGTTTACAAGTCATCATATTGACAAACGCTATTAGGTTGTTTTAGGCATAGTAGTTTATGTATAGTGGCTATTCAGTTAATTGTGGTTATGCAACAGCTAATTATGGATTATCAATTCCTCTCTCACTTCATAGCTGGAAAGCAGAGCATAGGGAAAAAATACCAGGGCAATATATATCCTCCAAAGACATGTTCCCCAGGACCCATGTCCTCTAACTGAACCCTCTCTCCCAACAGCAAATTCAGCTATTTAAATCAGAACATAGCGCCCACAATCTAGTCACCTGTCTAGAAGTCTCTTAATCCACTTAAGTTTATGATTAGGATTACTTGGCACACAGCAAAAAGGAAAACATCAATATTTGCTTATTTCAAGTATTGGGCAAGTGCATGCTTGCCACCTTTTTTTCTGCCTCTGTGTTTGAATTATTTCTTTAAAAATAAAAACTACATTATAGGAAAAATTATCAATTTGCCTTCTAAAAGCATTACTCAGAGAAATTTTCTAAAAATTACTTCATGCATTAGGTAGCAAGGTATTAAATATTAAAATGCTTCACACAACTAGGGTCCATAAAAACTACATTTTTAGTAAACAATGCCGCTGCTCCTGTAGATGACACAGTTCACCTTTTGATAACCTCTAGGGTATTTTAAAGTAACAGATATACATGCTTTGAGTTTGTCTTTGCTCAATTAGCACAGCAATAGCTTTGCCAGGTCACTTAAACAATACTCCAAATTTTTGCATCTTTAAGATGGAGATATTCAGAGACAATTCACAAAGTTAAGTGAGCTATTGATATGGTACGCAAAATCTTAGTAAAAATGCAAATCATTATTGCTGCTGCTGATACTGCCTTACATATTACTAGATTCAAATATTACTAAAAGTTAACTTCAGAACACAAATTCAATTTACTCGCTATTGAGGGATTCCTCTTCCTTGGTGAACACCTTTTTCAATCTGTTCCATGCCACAGCTGTTATGGTTGCTATGATAAGAATAGACAAGCCAATGTAGAAACTTAGAAGCCAGTTATTGCTAGCCTTCTCTGAAGCACTTCTCATGGTTAAACCTAAAAATAAAACGTGCATTAAAAATACTTTTCATTTGCAGCAATTCTTTAAAATGTTCTTAATTTTTGTTACTCATGGAACAAGGATACATAATATACAATCATAAGATTTTGTCTAAGAGCTTTCTTTTCAAACAAGCTCCAGAAAATTCCAGGGTATTCTCCGTGATACATCAGCTGTAATAGTAAAGTCTCACTGTAAAGTTGTAACTGAGCACCAAAAGTTCACTAATATACAATGTGGAAAGGTATAATCATATGGTTACCCAAATTTACATTGTTAAAAGATTTCAAAAGGTTTGGATTATTGAAAGACTTCACTGTACTTGCGTATTCCCATTTTTACTTCATAAAATGTTGGCTTTTGATATTAGGACTATACTTTTTATATGGGGCTACTGCACCACTACTAAAAGGGCAAGAGCCCAAAAATTAGGAGTCTTGACTCTGTTACTTCTTAGCACTAGGTATAGAGACATAAGCTTTGTCTCTAAGATCCATGAGGACACCTGTTTTGAGTACTATCCAGCCTCAGTGCTAGACCAGCACCCAGAATATATTGAGTTCAGTAACTGTTTTCTAACTCAGTGGATGCATGACTGATAGAAATTCAAGCTACAGTGAGCAAATAGAGTATTGCACTAGCACTTTTTAAATCATTTCTCATAAGTAATTTGTAGATTATTCTCATTTATAAACTCCTGACAGAGGGCTGGGGATTTAGCTCAGCGGCAAAGCGCCTGCCTGGCAAGCGCAAGGTCATGAGCTCAATTCCTGGTACCAGAAGAAAAACAAAAACTCCTGACAAAAGTATTGTCTTCTGTTTAATTTCTCCTACCACAGAAAAATCAGAGTACTAGATACAGAGTAAATATTTGTTTAGAGCTGAAATAGCAGAATTGATCATAAAAATGGAGGAAAAGATTGAAAAATGTTCTAAAGGAGAAAGTCAGTAAGTAAAGGCAAAGTTTAAAGACTGCTCAGCTTCAATAATGATATCATTAGAAGAAAGTACAAGATTAAGAAGAAATATTTAGACCACATTCTTTGAGGGAAATGATTATCTTTTAATAACAAATATAATTTATCTATTTCAAGTATAAAAATACAATTTATTTTAGTGACGATAATCAAGGTGAGGATTTTATTAAATAGCATTCTAAAGAAATAGGTACTTGCCTCTTCTCATATGCCACGGAGATTTCAAAGACTTCATGGGTGAGCAAAATGGAGGCTGGGTACCAGCTTCACAATGACATGCACCACTGTTATCACATATCTAAGAACATTTTTGAAAATTTACATGATCGTTAAAAATATTTCCATCTGAGTTTCCATTATTTCTTAAGGGGAAAATTTGTTTTGATATACAAGTGCTTTGGCTTACTCGCATGTTTCCAGAATGAATTATGCTCATAAACCAAAGTTTACTACTTGGTTTCCTAAGCTAGAACACAAAATTAAAAAAAAAAAAATACATATAGACAACAAAAAAGAGCTATAATGTGAGGTTCACATTTGCATCAAAAAAGTATAACAGCTTCGAATGTATACCTGCAACCTCTGTGTACAATTCCAAAACAACCTACTACTTAAATTCTAATGTCGATGCAACCTTTCCTGTGCTGTGGTTGGGACAGTGCCGGCACTCAGAGCAGACTGTGCTTTTCTTACCACCTCCATGTTCACTGACTTCATATTGGCAGTGTAAGTATTCACCTCTACAAACAAGGACTGCATTCTTCCCTAAGGTGGCTGCTAAACATTTACTACATTGTGTGATACAATGATGAATGCAAATGTGTGTCAAAATTGGCAACAGCAGAAGTGAACCCAAATGTACACTACCGGCATTAGATGGTACTTATTTTTCTGGATAAGAATTGCACTACATTGGTCAGACAGGTTTGGTAATGTGGATAGCTATGTATGTTTGAGATAGGAAATATATGGGAAATACCTGTACTTACTCTCAGTTTTCTTGTGAACCAAAAGCCTGTCTTAAAGAAAAAGTCTTCATAAAAAGAAAGAACTACTGAGCATACAAAACCTGGAGAAAGCTTATATGCATACCATTAAATGAAAGAAGTCATTATGAAAAGGCTACATGATTTTTTTATTCAAAGAACATGACATTCTAAACAAAGAAATCTATGGAGATATTAAAATGATCAGGTTTTATCTGGCATTAGCAGAAAATGAATGATGAACAGACTGAACACAGAGGAATTTAAAGGCAGTGAAAAATGTGCTGTATAATATTATAGCAGTGGATGCATGTATTATACTTTTATGGAAACAGATTGTGTAACACAAAGAATGAACTCTAATGTAAACTGTGAACTTTGGGTGATAATGGTGTGCCAGTGTGCATGATTAGTCATAACAAATGTAACACCAGCTGTGTTAGGGTGAAACTGGGAGACTGAATAAACGGAATGTGGTGGGGATCTACGTAAAATCTGTACTTTGCATTTCATTTTGCTGTGAACCTAAATCTTTCAAACATAAAATAGATTTTTTAAAAAAGGCATAAAATCAAGGTTTTTGTGACCTGATATATTCAAAGCACAGGAGCTATCTTCCTTTGTGAATAGGTTTATACATTTATTGGAATATGTAACAGTCTGAAAAGTACCACAATTTAGCTATAATTTTTTATATTATGAGCACTTCAATGAAATTCAATGTTCTGTAACCCTGATTCTAGCTGCTGAGTTATTCAACTCACCTCCTAGCTGAAGATGCATCAGTGGCTGTCCAATAGCAGGAACCCCAAGAATACTGATAATTTAATGAGCGATGTTAAAAAGTATCCAAGAGAGATGTCATTCAAGGAAACATGTATTTACTTACTCCACGTCCATTGCATGCTTTTGTACATTCTGCTGAGTCATTCTCTAAAGTTCCTTTGAGCAAACAACGGTAAGTAACACATATCTAAGAAAAATCAATGGAGTTTCCAATTCAGAGAGATCCAGTACAGTCATCCTAACATTAAAATTAGTAATTGCATAACAAACACAGTTGTAACTATTCAATGTGATACATTTCCTTCCAAACATTATATATGTAGCATTCCTCAAATTTGGAAGCTGACTTTCCGTGTTCATTTAGTTTAACGTGTTTTAAGTTTCTTTTGAGAATTCTTCTTTAGAAATGTATTGATTAAATACCACATCTGAGATGTCTGATTGCTCTAATGCAACCTATGGACTTCCCATGATAGTGATGTATCAGTGTAAACACATCTACTGCTAACAAACGCACACATCTGAGGTGGGTTGGAGAGGTAGTGGGCAAAAAGAATATAGGAGCTCTTGGTACCTCCACTAAAATTTTAAGTGAGCCTAAATCTGTCCTGATATATAAAGCTATTACTTGAAATAAATAATTTTAAAAAGTGATTTGTGATATGCAAGTGAGGAATTTTAATGAACAAGATTGGCCATAACAAAAAAATCATAACCAAAGAACCAATTTTTATTAATGTACCATAAAAATCTAACACAATAATTCCTGAGCATACAATTAAATGAGTATCCTGAAAATACATACTAATAAAAAATAAAACCTGCAAAATGAGAAATTACCTGCCTGTTGACATTTAGTGTAGTATCAAAGAATATGAATATAACATATAATATTACCATAATATATAATAAAACCATTGATTTGCAAATTTTCCAACCAAAAAACACAAATGAATGTCCTGTACTTATTGCACATATTAAAATTTTTCATAGAAAGAAAATAATATATGTATATATTCAGTATGTATAAAAAAGTCATATAAGTATATATTCAATATGTATAAAATCTGAACTAGTAGAGTCATTTAAGTATTTAAGAAAATTATAATAGATATTTTTATTAAAATATAATAAAGATCTATATTATTTTGTGAGAGAATGTAATAAAAATAAGGAAATAATTATTTTAATTTTAAATTATAATAATTAGAAGATTAAGTATATATTTGCAACTCCATTACTTATAGAAACTTCCCTAAATTGTAATTTTTTTTACTTTAGTACAATTCTTTTTTTAAAAAAAGTTATTTTAGAAAAAGCATAAATAGCATTTTAAGTTTGTCTCCACAAAAAAAATGATTTCCTTTAAACATTAAAGCATAGTACAATTCTCGCCAAAGATATGGTCTCTCAAAATATCTTCTGACGTCAAACAATCTAACTCTTCTGAGCCTTTAACATGTTAAGCATTTTCACTTGTGCTTGGCCATCATGGTGTACCTAAGTCCTCCATTTGGAGTGTAAGTGTCTATTGTGTGCCTGGTTTAGGTGAGATTGAGACCGGGTTACTCTTCATAAGGACATTATCTTACAGAATCAAAATTGTTGGGAATCATGTTTCATATATGATTTATGGTATCATTAAAAACTACCTGGTAAAATTTCTTTTCATATATTATCCTGAGAAAGTTTTTCCATATCATAAATTAATTCTGCTCTTACTAAATTATTTATTAAATAATCTCAAATATCTGTTGGGTTGTTGCATTTTTAGATGTTTTTGTTGTATGGCCCAAATACATTTATTAGGCTCCGTGGCCTAAACCTCCTTCAGGGTATTTATGATTCCTAGGCATGAAAAGATCATATGTTTTAACTACTGTAAACTTTGCTTAAACTGTAGGAACCATACATGTGACTACTATAAACATTTCACATATTATGATACTAAGGTTTAACTGCAGACATTCCTCAATTAATAGCCCACCTGTTTAATGACTTTCAGACTGATGACCCCTTTTTTTTTTTTGGTACGGTCTTCTACATCTTGTTTCGAGAGCTTCAGTGTCTTTTTGGTACAGTATACCTTGTTTATTCAGTAGCGTAATTTTTGCTGGTCATACTATACAGTACAATACTGTAGTTTTATGTTCTATTGTACATGACAGTGTTGCATGTAAGAGTTACGGAAATAAAGGCAGAGTCAAAGTTATGCAACTAAAGGCAAAGTAATCAAGTTGGTGTTTCCTCTGACCATTTTTTTTTGTTCAGAATATAGTACTGTAATGTACATACTACACACAGTTCTTCATTTAATGACCAATTCAGTTAACAATTTCATCACAGGAACAGAAATTGGTCATTAAACTGGGAATGTCTGTACATTAATTTGTCCAGCTCATTCATCGGGTAAGCAGAAGAGTCAGAATTCAAAGTTCTACCCATTTACCATTAAAGCCTACACTTTTTACCATGTCATCTTTCCTCATGAACAAAAATATGGCCAGAAATTAAATGAGATTTTGAAGTAAATTTATTTCCTCTGTTTCCCCTAGGTTTCAGTTGGTGTTAGTGGTAACAAATTACAATGATAGAGTTTTCACAATATGGCTGGCTGAGTAGGGGAGGAGTCACATCAAAGATGCTCAGGAAAGATTCACTGGGAGGGCATGCATTTGAAGGTGGGAGAGGGGCTTTCAGGATGAAATAGAAAATTAACCAGAAAAGTTGATACACAGATCAAGTCAAACAAATGCACAGTGTGACACCTGGGCTGTTCTCTACAGCCTGTTCTGTCGGGAAGCAGCCATTCTGGATAGTGAGGCAAAAAGTCTGAGAGACAATCTAGTGCTGCACAGCTCAGATTCCTGACACAGTTTGTATTCACTGGACTCACACTTATATCCTCCCCTTCTAAACACGGGGGAAAAGCAACAATCCTTTGTTCTCTGCTCCAGGACATACTTCAGACTAAGGGTGGACAGAGACAGGCTACATGGGCAAACAGCACTGTAGCTGAGCTGGAGCAGCTCAGGAACCTGCCCATCCAGCCAACCTAATTCCTGAAGTGCACAGGCATGATCCCAGTTCTCTGCACCCATCTAAACAGACCTTTCACTCAGAAGGCCTGGTGAGTCACAGGCAAGTGTACACTCACTGGCTTGGCTAGAACCAGCTCTGCAGTCTACTTCTGAATAGCCTCACATGAGTCCTGCTTGTCCGGTGGACTGCAGAATCACAGGCGCTAGCCCTAACCACAAACTAAGCTGCTGACCAAGTTGGCTCTATTCCTGATGTGCACTCCAGCACACCCTCCCAGTCACAAGAGCATATGCCCATCTGTGGAGAACACAGGAGCAGGGTAACCTGCAACCAGAGTGCAAAGTAGATTTGTGCAGTCTCATGGAGTCCATGGCATAGTGGTTAAGGAGGAATGCAGCTGCTGCCCTCCCTTGTAGGATCTCCACCAGTGCTCACTGAGGGCCTAGGCACTCCTGCCCACACCCCAAGAAGAGCGGCAGGGTCTTTGGATTCCAGTAGGCATATGCAGAAAACCTGAATAAACAACACACTTCAGAGATTGAGGAGCTGGTTGCACACTGGTCATCACAATCTCCCAGGTTTCCAGCAAAGTTGTTGCATTTGAATCATATACACATTCCCTTGCTGGAGTGTTTAAAATGAGTTCCTATTGGATATCTCCTGAGTGTGTGTGTGTGTGTGTGTGTGTGTGTGTGTGTGTGTCTGTCTGTCTGTGTGCGTGTGCGTTGTATTGTTTGGTTTGGTTTGGTTTGGTTTGGCAATTGCTTGGTAGTTTTTTGGGTTTTGTTTGGTTTGGTTTGGTTTGGTTGTTTTTAAGGATTTGCTTTTGGCTACTTTTTTTGTGTTTATTTTTCTTCTCTTTCTCTCCCTCTTTTCATCTCCCTACCTAGTTTCTTCAACTCAATATCCCACAGCAGTTCTAATTGTTAATTCTTTTCCATAAAGAAATTAATTATACATTTACTCCTCTTGTTTCTAATTTACCATATTTTCTGTATCATATCTAACCCCCGCTCTTATCCAAATTTTTCTTGTCTTCCATTGCTATATTTAAAATTTCTATTTTTTTGTTGGTGGCATTTGGAGATCTATCACCCATTTTCTTCTTCCTTCTTGTTTAACAGTTCTTGTTTCATTTCTTGCCATTTCTCTTTCAATCAGTTTCTTTATCTTTTTTCTCTAGTTTGATCTCCATACCTTATCATTTATCCTTTTTCTTAAGCATTTTCTCTATTAATAGTTACCTAATACTATTAATTTTTTTCTATTCCTTAATAGAATAATTTAAATTTTATTCCCTATTTCCCTGCTTCCATTGCTTAATGTTTTCTAAGTATATATTTCTTTCTTCACAGTCCCATGCCCACAGCTTATTCATTCTAGTACAACTACTTACATATATGAATCTACAGATAGTTAACTATATCTTACTATGGTTGAACACTGTTCTCCTATGAGTGTGGGTACAATTGACTTATCAAGCACATATTTATTACATGTAAATATCTGGATTGTCTTATTGGTTTGTACTATAAGAATAGATTTTGTTCCTGTGGTTAAAGAGGTACAGTGTTAGTTATATGGTGTTACAAGTATGTGTTTGATACTATTGTTGTTGCTGATTTTACTACTTTAGCCAAGGTGACATAGTTGTTGCCATTAATGGGTCTTCTCCATATGCTAATATCTAGATTGCCTGGGAGTGATAAGCAAGAATACACACCATTACCGAAGTACTGGGTACTGGGTCAAATAAGCCAATTTATTAGGCCTTCTATTCTTAATGGAGGAAACAGGATTCTGGGAGAGACACAAAGGACAATGGTCAGCTTTGCCTAGAGGATATCTCTGAAAAGTAGTCCTTACCTAAAGTGAATATTATCAGTAAAGCCACCTATCATAAGCAATTTGCAAGCCACAACACAGAAAACAAATTTTTAAAAATAGAGAACAAGAAAACATGGTAGCAGAATGTCCCCCAAAGCTCCAAAGTCCCCCCCCCAAAACAAATCCAGAGGTGGGACCAAGGGAGAAGAAAATCAAAAGCCACACTACCAAAATGTCTGAAATGGTACTGATGGAAGTACCAAGACAGATGTATAAGACACCTGGTAAATTCAAGGTAGAAACAACTGTAGAGATAAG